GGGCCTTTGGCCTGATCCAGCATTGGTGTGTCTTATGTTCCTTCATGAACTGATGGGTGAGGCTTGCAGTTTTTCTCCAAAGAGGATTCTGGTGGCTTTAATACGTGCAGGGCAAGGAGACGTTCAGGACAGGCAGCTCCTCTCCCTCTTGCCCCGGAGCCTCCATCCGAACCAGAGTCTGGCACCGTGTGCTGCCTTCAGTACCTAAGAACTGTTCATTTTTTTTATCCTCCTCTGGCACAACCTGTCGCCCCATTCACCACCTCCTCTCTAAAAAGCAGGTAAAGTTCTCCACGTGGAGCATATCGAACTCCTTACAGAGGAGTACAAGCAGCTGAAGAAGGAGGTGGAGGGGAAGGAGCTCGTGAAGGGGACGCTGCACTTCACAGGTCAGTGGCTGCAGAGACCCTGCCGGGCGGAAGAAATTAGCAGTTGGATCGGTGGCCAGTGATTTCATTCGTTCATCTGTCTGTTTCTTCCTGGAAGAGAGAGGTCTTAGCTAGTCCCTCATTCCCTGGGTGTTCATCCAGTCGGCCTGCTTCCTAGGGTTGCCAGGCTCCAAGTAGAGCCTGGAGATCTCCCGGGATTACAGACTCCCGGAGATCTCCCGGGATTACAAATGACCAGTCTCCAAACTGTACCGCTTCCTTTGGCTGCCTGAGTAGACCAGAAGTTCTCCTAGTCACCCAAAGATATTTTGGAAATCATCCTTCCTGCCACATTTTTTTAAAAAACATTTTATTAAATTTTATTAAATTTCATAAAGCGTGAACAATTTTACACAGGTAGAACAATAACTTGTATAACATAACAAGGAAAACATAGGGTAGCTGCACTCAATGTACATATTAGGGATGAACAGGGAAACATAAAGCCTTGTTATAATAGCCATAGAATTAAAAGTTTATGTTAGCAATGGGTCAAAGGTGTATAATGCCCATTTTTCACAAATCATCCTTTCTGCTTCCACTTTTTCTAAGAAAGGAAACCATTCTAAGAAAGGAAACCATCCTCCCTGCCACATAATCTTAACTCCTCTCTTTCTCGTTCCTAAAAGGCGGCCCGTTGGATGAAGAACGTTCCGGGTTTCCGGCCTTCAGCGGGATCGCTCGCCTGACTTGGCTGGTTGACCTTTTCGGGAACCTCACTGTTGTGTCTGCCGCGAGGGAAGAACAGAAAGAGAAGAACTACTCCAGGATGACCGTGCAGTTTCAGACGGCAAACAAGAGGTTGGTAGCGTGAAGGTTGAGAACATGCTGATCAATAGGGCTGCCAGCTCTGGGCGGGGAAATCCTTGGAGATTTGGGGGGTGGAGCCTGGGGAGGGCAGGGTTTGAGGAGGGGAGGGGCCTCAGCAGGGTATAAAGCCATAAGGTCCACCCTCTAAAGCAGACATTTTATCCAGGGGAACTGA